ACGAATGAAGAGTAAATTACTACAGTGTGAACAGTATCAGCAAACAGTAATGAACAGTAATTTTGAACAGTGTTTTGCTACAGTAACTACGGTAATGGATGTTAATTTGTGTAGTTTTTAATTCCTAATGTTATCAATACTTTCGATAGATGTCCAGGATTTTTCAAGATTCCCCTTATCAACAATATCATTTTGTCGGCCAATATCAAAACAAGTCCTCAATAATTCCAGACACATCTAAGTTAGCTCATCAACTTATCAATTACTTTATATTTTATTCTGTATTGTAATAATGAAGACGGATTCAAATGTATTTGAAGTCTGCTCTTTTGTAGTATAAATATGTATTACTTAGAATGAAAAAATCAAAATGCGAAAAAGAGAGAAAACAAGAGCACAAAAAAGTGAGAGCAAAAATTTTAGTCCTTTGAAAATACTTTGTAAAAAAGTCATTAAACAATAACACGTTTTCTTCATCAAATTTCTTATAAGTTTCCTTCAGTATTTTCAACGAATGATAACAAGTATTCAAAAGTATGAAAAGCAATAATGAGATGAATAGTAAAAGTAATGATGAAAATACTGAAGGAAACTTACAGGAAATTTGATGAAGAAAACGTGTTATTGTTTGATGACTTTTTTACAAAAGCATTACCGTAGTTACTGTAGCAAAACACTGTTCAAAGTCAACATTAGCTTATAAACTCATGATAACACTGATCATCAAATAGCAAAAACATTAGTCTCAGGATTTACGGGAATGCTTAAGAATTGGTGGGATAATGATTTACAAAAACATTTATTATTTCAAAAGTATTTACTATTCATTTTTCAAAATTAAAATAAACCTTTATCTAAGCCAACGATTATTAAATGCAAATTTTTTTAATTTTTTTTAAATTTTATTTTAACCCCTATAGTTTTTGTCTATTTCAAAATTTACAAGGAATTTTATGTAATTGTCTAGGGGTTAAAAAAAATAAACCAAAAGGGTTTGGGCTTGGGCTTGGGACGGAGGAGGGCCCAGTGGAGGGATCGAGCCCTCCTCCTTAGGACTAGTTCGGTTTTGTGACCAGGCTTGCTAGGATCGGTCCTCTCAAGGACCGGGTTTTTGGACTTAATCCCAAATGCCCAGCTCTACATTGATTGCTCTTCTACTTTCTTTCTTCTTTGGTTGCGACCACTTTTATTCAATCAATACTAACTGCGTTTCACATTTCATCTAATAATAAAAAGTTGAAAAATAACAGAATAAAATTTATTTTAAAAAAATATATAAATTAATTAATATTAGCTGAAGCAACTCAAGTTTTACATCTCAACTTAGGCAGCTTTATTTTTCCATCCAATTTGTGATAATTGAAAGGTTCAACTTATTTCAACTATGCTTAGTAAAGTAACAGACTCATCATAATGCATGGTCTTAAGTAGCGTTGGGCATTTAGGATTGGGTATAAAAACCTGACCCAAAACCCGGTTTTGGGATCAGGTTAGGACCAGTCCTAGCAGACCTGGTCCCAAAACTAGACCAGGCCTAAGGAGGAGGGCTCGGTCTCTCCACTAGGCCCTCCTCTAAGGCTCAGGCCCAAATCTTTTTAGTTTATTTTTTTTAGCCACTTGGACAATTACTAAAACCCCCTATAAATTTCAAATAGACAAAAATTGTAGGGGTTAAAATGAAATTTTATAAAATTTAAAAAATTTGCATTTAATAACCATTGGCAGGGAAAGGTCCCAAAACCAGACCAGGCCTAAGGAGGAGGGCTCGATCTCTCCACTGGGCCCTCCTCCAAGGCTCAGGCCCAAATCTTTTTAGTTTATTTTTTTTAGCCACTTGGACAATTACTAAAACCCCCTATAAATTTAAAATAAACAAAAATTGTAAGGGTTAAAATGAAATTTTATAAAATTTAAAAAATTTGCATTTAATAACCATTGGCAAGGAAATGTTTATTTTTTTTCTTCTCTCCACCCCCCCCCCCCCCCCCCCCCCCTCTCCCCCCCCAAAAATGCTACATGATAAATATCCTCTAAATTTCTCCTTTTTTCCACACCACTCAATCTCTTTACTCTCTACTCAAAATCTCTAATCAAATTCTCAATAAATTTATATTTATATTTATAATTTATTTATTTATATTATTCAATTTTTTCTATTATTCAATATTATCTCTTATTCATATTATTATTATTATTTTTTCATTTTATCATAAATTCATAATGTATTCTCGAAATGATGCATTCGGAAGATCATCCCCAAATGACTTTTACGTTCTATCCATCGAAGAAATGAAAGGGTTCGATCTATTTTCACCCTTTCCTCCAAAGGCAGCAACTGTAATTCAACAACTTCATTCGGCTGGGACGAGGTGTAGCCAAACACAAGCGAGCTGCGACTCAACGGGCGCGAGCATGGCCAAACTCCCCCGACCGTAAAAAAGGGTCGTGTCTAATGTATGACGACACTTCACCAAATTAAAATGGCCAAAGACAAATGGGGATGAGGAATAATCGTGTGGGGTATGTAATTTATGTGAAACCATTATTGACGCTGAGAAGGGGACTTCGACGATGCGATGACATTTGGAGAAGAAGCACCCCCAAATAATGTAGCTGTTCGGTACATCTTCAACCGGATCGGATAGGTAAATTCAAACTCAATCTACAATCCTCAACTCTCTCAACATGACAATACAATGCACATGTTGCACGAGAGGAAATAGCAAGATTCATGGTTGCTACGAACTCTCCTATTTGTTTATTTGAAAATCCTTATTTTATTCACATGATTAAAACTGTATTTTGTCCAGCATATACCCCTGTTAGTAGAAGTACAAGTAGAAGAGATATACTAAAACTTTATAACAAAATAAATAATAAACTTAAAAACGAATTTCAAAATTTTAGGAATATATCTATTGCACTTACATCAAACATATGAGCTTGTAGATCAAAAACAGATTTTTTAACTGTCAAAATACATTTCTTAGATCATAGTTAGAGTTTACAACAAAAATTGATAGATTTTAAACCATTATATGAAAAATATAGTGCTAACACTATTTATTTTAAAATTCTTGAAGTTTTGCAAGAATATGTATTAACTGATAGAGTTGTAACGCTAATGCTTGATAATGCAGCTGCTAACACCGCGACAATCTCTTTATTTGAAAAGAGATTAAATTTGCGTGGTGAAAGCAAATTTTTTCACCAAAGATGTGCTTGCCACATCATTAATTTGATTGTTAAAGTAAGTTTAGATGCTATACATTCGAAGATGGAGAGGGTGCGCACGACTATCGGATTTATTGTCGACGATAGCAACAAAAGATGACAGGAGTACGTCAAATATTATAAGCAAAAGGACCCACCGGTTCGACCTTTGAAGTTATGTATAAACATGCCTATCCGTTTGAACTCTACCTACTTAATGTTGAAAAAAACTTTGCCAACCGCAAGACAAATTACAGATTTCGTCAACTGGAAGAATCATCCAAAGAAAGTTGTCAACTATGATGATTGAGCGGTTTGTGAACTTTTTAATTCGTTTCTTATAATTTGTTATGATTCTACTAATACATTAAGTGGTATTTATTATTCGACTACTAATTTAGCGTTAGATATTTTACTTCAAATTTCTAAAACTTTTGCTAAATATAGATATAATGACATTTTAATGAAAATTATTTTAAAGATGGAAGAAAAATACGAGAAATATTGGTTAAATATTCCATTCTTATATGGATTAGGCTTTTTTTGTAGATCCTAGGTTTAAATTACACATAGTTAAATATATAATTACTGAGATAGGTCAGCATTTAGGACATGATTATACGTCTTATTTGACTGACTTTAAACAAAAATTAGAAAACTTTTTTTCTTTATATCAAAACAAATACAATGGAAGTGGAAGTGGAACGTCCAGGAGAGACGATCAAGATCCTAATGAAGACCTCCATCAATGATCGAGCATGTGGACGTATATGGGATATGGCAGAAGTAGCAACTCTAGCTTGTATATACATGAACCAAATGAGTTGAATCGCTACTTACAAATGGACATGTCCTACATGACGAAGAAGGAGAAACGTGAGATAGATGTGCTTCAATGGTGTAACAAACATCAAAGTCGATTCTCTATTGTAGCCTAAATGGCATGTGACATTTTATCTATGCCGATTTCTACAATTGCATCCAAGTCAGCATTTTCAACAAGTGACCGGATTGTTGAAGACAGAAGATGCTCTTTAACCGATGAGATGATTGAAGTGATAATGTGTTTACGGGATTGGACTCATACAGAGAGAACATTACAACAGCACCCTGAAGATCCCAAACTACTCGAACTCTTTAGGAAAATAGATTTTAATGATTTAAATATTGTTGACAATGAAGATGAATAATTTAATAAAAAAAATTATTTAATTGTTTATTTGTGAAATGTGAATGTGTGAATATTACATTTATGTTAAAATTACCCATTACCCATTAATTTATTTATTATTTTATTGTTTTTTAAAAATTAATTAAACTTTTAAAAACTTACTAATCTACCCCTAAAAATTACATAAACCCCCCCAACAAAATTTCATTTTGCCCTTAAAATATAAAAAAAGATAAGGGGAAAATGAAATTTTGCAAGCCCAGGGCAGTTCGGGTCCTAAAATTGCTCATTCCCAAGCCCATGAGCGATTGGTCCCAAATGGGACCAGTCCCAAACGGGCCCAAGCCCGGGCCCGCTTGGGATTGGTCCTTGACCAGCTCTAGCCTCTAGTCTTAAGTTAGCCCATATTTCTTCATTAAAGGAAATAAAATAATGATTTAATTGCAGCTACAAATCCCAACAAAGAAAAGGATAATAGCAAAAGAAACATACCCACTTTCTCGTATTGTTGAGGGATAATCTTCTTAACGTCTTTATTAACATGCAGAAAGCAAATGGATATCCAAACTGGTCTGCAGCATTGGTTCATAATCAAGAAATTGAATTCCATAAGAGTAAAATGACTCTAGATATTGATTCCAGGTAATTGTGAAAACTAGCATAACAAACCTCTGCACCATAACAGAAATCATTGAATTTTCATGGTGACAATATACACAGTATCTTCTGAGCAACTAGGCCCATCTCTCTATGAACAATTGGCTCACGGCAAAGTAAGGTGTCTTACCTTAGGGTTTACTGCAATAGCTACATCCCAAACAGAGTTCCAAGGACTGTTGTTGCGACGGTCAAGAAGTCATTGCTGCATGTGAAGAACATCTAAACATCAATATAAAGAGATTAGCAACCATTGAAAAGCAACGGACAGAGACTTAAATCAGAAGGATCCAAAATACATATGTGAGTTTCAAATAAAGGATGCTCAAATGAGTGACAAATTGCAAAACAGAATATATAACAGTTGATTTGATAAAACTGATTAAATGATGTAATGATATGGTGCTAAAGACACTGCAAATTCGAAGGTACAGAGATCATTATATAGACAAATTGAAAATAATAATGTATTACATTGACTCAAGCTTTAGTGACAATGCGACATTTACATACAGGCAGAGTCCAAGATTCTAAGCGGTAATGGCCAGGCATTGGGGCAGTACAGTTTCATTTAACTTACTATATGTTCCCATAATTATTAGTCTTTCCTGATTGAGTTGTATATAACGTAAGTCTAAAGACGATTTCCTCAACTAAGCTAACCTCTTTCTGTAGTAGCACCATAGAAATATGAACAACTAGATTTCAATCACTTAGAAATCAGCTCATTATGAAGGTGAAGAGCTCTTGTTTTATCACCCTTTTGAATGTGGCTAGCAATCAATGCCTCATAGATTTCCACACCTGGAACTAGTGATCGGCTTTTCATTACTCTTAAATACTTATCTGCTTTATCTACTTTCCCACATTGACAAAGGCACCTTATCAATGATGAGAAAACCTGCAATGTTGGAGTAAGTAGTCTGGATTCCATCTCATAGTAAAGCTTCAATATTTCTTGAATCTTGTGTGCTTTGGCATAACCAGCTATAAGATGAGAGTATGTGATTTCATTAGGTAGAAACCCTTTATCTAATAAGGGAGTTAGCATTGCATTGGCCTGTTCTGCATTCCCAGTCTCACATAACTTTCCTATCATCTCATTGAAAGCTGAACAGCTGGGAAGAAGTCCTCTCCCCATCATTTTCTCACAGTTACTTAAACTTTCTTCCACTCTATTTACCTTTGCACAACCCTCGATTATAAGATTAAAGGTTTCATCATATGGCTTCAAACCCATGTTTTCCATTTCTTGCAACAAGAAATTTGCTCTTTCAATTTTCCCTTCTCTACAATAGGCTCCTATAAATGTAGTATACACAAAAGAATTTGCACTAAATCCTCTCTTAAGCATTTCTTCATAGCCTTCCAATGCTGACTCCAAATTCCCAAGTTTTACCTTTGCATAAACAACTAATGAGTAAGCAATTGTATCAAGAATCATGTTCCTTTGTAACATTCTCTTCAACAGTAGCACACCACCTTCAGTTTGTCCCTCCTCTATAATCCTAAAAATCAAACTGGTATTAACAATCACTGAAGGAGAACATCTCTTCCCATGAATCCTATCCAACATGTCCACATAAGTTTGCAACTTCCCTTCCTTGCACAATGCACTTATTAAACTTCTGATTGTCTCTTCATTTGGGTATCTTCTCTTTTGCAGCATATACTCATAGATACTCCACACTAGACAACTTTTATCAGATTTTGTAACAAGATGAATCAAAGTATTGAAACTTATTAAACTCAAAGAAAACCCATGTTCTTCCAAGTAGCAACAAACATCAAAAGCAACCTCAAGCATTCTCATTTTAGCATAGGCCTGAACCAACAAATCAAACACAAGTGGACTTGACTCCATAACTTCATAAGTACGAAACAATGAATCAATAACCAAGCATCTTGAATCATCCTCCACATGTTTCTTCAAAACTGATTCAATCAACACACGAGCATCAATGAGCATCCGGGCTCTGACCATAACATGAATTGTGGCGCAATAAGACCAAAGGTTGTGTTGATAGTGCTTCCTTTGGGCTGACCAATGAAAGAAACCCAAAGCGCATTTAGCATCAACTGGGTCCTTTAGTTTCAGCAAGACTTTCTCAACAATAGAATGGTTTAACTCAACAGAACAGAATTGCTTGGTAAGAGTGTCCCAATTCGAGCCTCGTCTTAAAGAATCACACATGGCATTGACAAGTGTGCTGCTCTTTGAATTTGTGGAAATGTGAATGAATTTGGAGGTGTTGAGTGATATGCAGACTAAAGAGTGAGTTCTTTGACGAAGTGCATTCATGATTCTGATAACGTGGATCCATTTACTGAGACATTCTTTAATCACTCCCAAAATTGATAAATTCTCTTTAAAAGAAAAAAATTTGGTCCAACTTAATAGTAGAAATCTGGTCCAAGACAACTTGTTACAGATGAACAGAGAGCAAGTCTGTTGCAACACATCAAGGGCACTAATAGCAAAACCATGGACACATCAAAGTCATTTCACTTCTGTCAACTCTCCCTCAATCTCTTCTTCAACCCAGAAAAGTCTATCAACCACAAATCCAAACCACCGCTGACAGAACCCGTCTGGATCTCCTCCTCAAAAAATCCAGGATGGACCTGCAAAACACTGACTAGATGGCTATGTGACAACTGATGAACTCACTAACTTGAGTATACAAATAACTTCTTTGTAGTGTACGTCACATTGACCAACTTCTACAATTCAAGTATTGACCTGCTAAGTCCTGCAACAACCTGGGAAGGGAGGCGAAAAAGTGAGCTAAAGCCCAGCGAGTGGAAAATATTATAAAATCATTTTCTGAAAACTTTTAAGCCTAAGTGTAAGTACTTTTATTCTTCAGAATTATATTTTTCTTTAACTATGCTATTAATCATCTTTAATAAAATCATATCTGAATTATTTATTACAACTGATATTTTATAACTAAATATATACTATATATACTTTTATTTAGCTCATCTCTGGTGTCTAAAGTTTTGCTGTCTGATTCTAAAATACTAATATCAGATACTGCAATTTTAGATGATTATTTATCAACTTACAATTCTTATCTTATACTTTTTAGTAAAACTGCATCTGTATTAATTTCAATCGACTCATATTTATAAACTGGTAATGTTAACTGCACTCTTTAATAACTTATCTCTGGTTCTATAATTTTAATACTGACTATACTCTTTTATTAATTCATCTTCAATCTGTAACTCTGATACCTGATATGAAAACTCTCACCACAACGAGTACTTAAGGGAATATCTGTCATACCTGGTCGGCATCCCACACACAGGCAGAGCAAGGAGAATCTATCATACCCGACAGCTCGAATATCACACGGGAAGGGCAACTAAATTTGTCATACCCTACAAGCTCTAACATCACTTGGGCAGAGCAACTAAAATCTGTCATACCTGGTGAGAAACTCATTGCACAGGCAAAGTAATAAGACTATCATACGCATCCAGAAAGCTTATATCTGTAATCTGTATCTAAAACTGATCTCTAGGGGATGGATACTTCATAGGGTGGTTTGTACACTATTTCTTGTCTTCTCATTTAACTAATAATATATAATAATAATATATGATATAACATTCTTGGGCCAGAGTGTAAATTTTACAACTATCTTTAACTTTCACTGTTCCATACACTAATTTCGTTTTCAAGACAATTATTAATGCTTAATTATTTGAACAAATATGTACACCTCGCTTGGAATCATTTTTAATAAACACATTAATACCCTACTATCACTTTAGTTAGATACTCTACTAAATTATTTAAACCAAATCTAATTGAATACAACTCATTCATAACCATTACTAACCAGAATGTATTATTTAATATTTATCAAATTTGTAATTAAACTAGAAAATGTTTGAAGGCTTGTATGAATCACACGTTACCTGATTAGATCAATGACTATTAACATAAATAAATAAAATAATGAACAATCTAACCATTTTCTAAAGCTTTTCTCTAACTTCCAATTTCACAGCAACAATATTATCCTCCATCCAACTCAACCCACTAAAAAGAAAATCGCATGCTGTAATATCATAAATTATACAAAATATTCTGATATCAAACCAAAAATTAAATTAAGATTTAACAAAAATAATATGGCTTTGATTTCAGAGAGTATATTAAAACATTTATAAAAAAAAAAACAAACAAAAAGGGTTCTAGTTTGGACTCACCTCTTTCTCTTATTCTCCATTTTCTCTCAAACAGCTTTCTTTCTTCCTTCTATTCTGATCTCTCGGTTCTCCCTTCTTTCTTTATTCTCTTTTCTGTCTATCGGCTTTTCTATCTCCCCTTTTATTTTCCTTTTGATTTCTGTCTTCTCCTTCTTTTTGATTGGGGAAATTTTCAAAATATACCCATGTGGTTTTGCTAGTACTTGCTTAATGTAAGGACAGTGCTATTTGGATCGATTAGGATCAGAAACGTTTTTGAAATGTAAATTTACAAATTACCCTTCAGCAGAATAAATTTATTTTGACTCCTAAATCTTGCTACTGTTTTTGGGAAGGTAAATTTTTAAATTTATCCTCAGTAAAGTAAATATATTTTTGGCTCCTAAACCTTGCCTTTGAGAGAGAAAACAATTCCCTTTATTAAAATTGTAGAAGGATGAGAAAGAAGTAATGATTACTTCAATATTTCCAAGAATATAAGTTGGAAAGTTGGAATCAATTTATTGTAATAATTAAATTTCTTTAAAAAAAAAACATGTATACTCTTCCCCCTTCTACATCTTGCTCTTCATCTTCACAGCTAAAAAAAAAAAAAAAAAAAAAAAAAAAAAAAGAGGTAAACTTCAGTGGCTCATTATAGTAAAAGGTGGAAAAAAATCAGATGAATGAAGTTACGAGTTTCGGAGATATGAGTATATGAATAGATGAGTGAAATGAGATTTTTGTGTTTGCTATGAACATTGAAAGAAATAAAGTTAATAATATTGTGGGTGTTGCATATAAAGAAGGTATAGACAATGACAAAGTCTGTCTAAGCAATGTGATGATTAGCTGGATAGAAATGCATGGATGTGGACAATGACCGAGGTTGTGCTGCTTTTTTCTTGTGTCAAAATCGTTTGCAAGAATAATCCCTTATGAGAAGCACCCAAAGTGAAACACATTGATTTTCAACATAGTTTCATACAAAGGCACACCCTTTTATCTCATTTTCACCAACAAATGGATATTCTAGTTCATATTGTAATAAAATAGCTACTGGATAAAAAATGTTTTCTGTAATTGATCTGAATGTTGTGTGGATAAAATAGATAGAGCTGGATAAAAAATGTATTATGTATATTGATCTGAGTGTTGTGTGAATAAAATGGAGATAGTTGTATAAAAAATGTTTTCCGTATATCAATGTTTTATGTATATTGATAAAAAGATAAAAAATGTTTTTTGTATATTGATAAAATAGAGAGAGCTGATAAAAAATGTTCATATTTGAAAACCTAAGAGTTTTGAAGAAGAATAAGAGAATATTATCGTTATCCAATACTTATTTTCGTATATGTAGTGAAGAATAACTTGTAGGTGTTGAGAGATTTTGTAACGGCCACTTTTTACTTTCAAAACAATTAGGATTTGAGAAGGAAAGTTGGGGATGATGGACAATAATTCCTTTTTTATTTTAAGAAATAATATTTTGAAATTGGCAAGAGCATTAGATTGAAACAATAATATATATATGAGCTTAGCTTTTATTTAATTGCTTTGGCTCAACAAGGATGGATCATGTTCTTTAATTTCATTTATTTGTTCTATCGTCTTTGTATATTTTTTTATTTGTTTTCTATTAATTACACAATTTTATAAATTCTTACAACATCGGAGGGTTAAATATAATATTTATTATTGCTAATAATCAACTCCATTATAATAAATTTCCCTTCTGACTTATCTCATATTCCATCTTCTTATTAATAATTTCACTTTTGCCTTATTTTTTTTCTTTGAGAAAAAAAAATTATTAATTAAATTACTAATTCAAGGGTTATACAGTTTAATTCTTTAGTTTAACTAAGTTAATTTATGTTTAATTTCATTAATAGTTAAATATGAAATAAAAATCTAGTATTGAGAGTCGGAGACTTTAAAAAGGAAAGAAAGAAATTTAAGACCAAAATGGTGGACATGTAAACATTTAGCAGATAGAGAAGTTGTAATAAAATTGGTTTAATTTAAAGAGAAATCATGAAGTTTGTTTTGTAATGTAAGAATTAAGAACTTAGACAACTATGGAAGTTTGTTTTTAATCTAAGTGTTCATTTTTTGTTTGGTATGGTTTTGTTTATCAATAAGTGCTGATTTTCATGTTGAAATTGTAAATTCAGATACCGAAGCAAGTACTGATTCATTATTCAATTTGGAAGGAAACTATGGAATCCAGAGAGCGAAACACAGTATTGGAAGCAATTTTCTACAACAATGAAGATGACAACTCAATGATTTATGATGTGAACGAGGATGGAGTGACCCATGGTAATGAAATTGTAAATTCGGATACCAAAGCAAGGACTGATGTAACAGAAGCGACTGTTAAACATGGTCCTTAGCTAGGTATGTTTTGTCGTAGCTTGGAATCTCTCTTCAAGGCATATAAAGAGCATGCACAACTATAAAGGCTTTGCTATTGTGAAGAAATCAGCATGTAAGGGGAGGAATGGTGATCGAAAATATCAGACTATTAGTTGTGACCAAGGAAGGAAAACATATTATAAGAATTCCTCGAAGAGGATAAATTGTCTTGCTAGGTTAAGCATGGTTCTAAGATCTAATGGAAAGTGGCAGGTTACAAAGGTTCAGACAAATCATAATCATGTTTTGGATCCATCAACGTGTAGGCTCATGGCAAGACACAAGAATTTGAATCTTGAAGTGAGGAGAAATCTAGAGGCTACTGATATTGCTGGGATCAGGCCTTGCAAAAGCGTTAGGATGCTTGAAATCCAATTTGGTGGGCTAGAGAATCTAACATGTTTGTCAAAGGATTGTCATAATTTCATTGAAAAAAAAGGAAACTGAGACTTGGTGATGGTGATGTTGAGTCAATCCACCAATTATTCTTGAAGATGCAGCAAAAGGGTAGAGATTTTTTTTCACTTGATTGATGTTGACAGTGATTCTAGGTTTACAAAGCTGCTTACGAGGAGTTCAATGGTTTAGTTAGCTTCAACACAACATACTTAATGAACAGGTACAAAATGCCATTCACGACATTTGTGGGCATCAACCACCATAGACAATCAATTCTATTAGGTTATGCCTTGATTTCACATGAGGATGTTGATACTTTTAAATGGTTGTTCACTTGTTTGTTATGGGAGACATTCATCCAAAAGCCTTAATGACTTATCAATGTGAAAGTATCAAGAAAGCCATCTCAAAAGTCATGCCTAATACTGTTCATAGATTTTGCTTGTGGCATATTCTATGTAAAGTCCTAGAGAAGTTTAAGTGTTGTAGACTATGGTACTATAGTTCGTGAGTTTAAAGCTATCATATATGAGATGTTCAAAAGCAATTGGAATGGGTTCATGGAGAGGCATAGGCTACAGGAAAATAAATGGTTGTAAAAAATTCTCAGGGAGAGGGTGAATTGGGTGCCAATCTATTTGAACAATATATTCTGGGCCAGAATACTATCAACTCAAAGGAGTGAGGGCATGCATGCATATTTTGATGGGTATGTGAATTTGATGAGCACACTTAAACTATTTGTGGATCAATACGAGATTGCTATGCATGATAAGATGGAGAATTGAATTTTATGCTGATTTTAGAAGTAAAGATATAATGATTAAGTGCATTTCTTAATTTGAATGGGATAGGCAGTTTCAATAAGCATTCACAAACGAAATGTTCAAGGTTGTTCAGGATAAGATAAGGCACATGTTGTATTGCAATGTAACTCCACATATCGATGAGGAAGTGCAGAAAGATGGTGTTGAGAAGTTTAAGGTGACAGAGAGATGTATAGTGAATGACCGGTATCGCAAGGAGTTCACCTATGAAGTTGAGTATATAGAAGATGGACAACTGTTAAGGTGTAATTGTAGGTTCGTGCATAAATTTTTTCTTTCTTTTTCAGAAGTATTACGTGTGATAATCCCCGTTTTATTTTCTTTCAAAATTTTCAAAGTCTTTTACGTGTGATATATGTTTGAATTATGAATTTAGGGTACATATTTTATAGCCTAACATTAACGAAATGTTATTGACATGAGTAATTTATTGTAGTTACTTTAGTATATGGTAAATGTTACTAAAATTACGTAGGAAATAGGTTGGAACCTTAATATTCTATAATTTACTAAAATTACATATTATAACTTAAGCTTTTGAAAATTTGGTTTCATTGTAGTTCTTGGAAACGGGAAATGAATTTGGTTTACGGTTCCTGTGCAATATTGGTTTCATTGTGTTTGGTTTCATTCAGACAAGTAAAATTTTAATGTTTGATTTTTCTTTCCTTTTTCAAATTTTAATGCAATTGTAGGAAATTTGAATCAAAGGGAATCCTTTGTTGCCATATTTTTAAGATATTGTTTGTGAAAGACTTTACATGATCAATGAGCTTTATCTGATAAGGAGGTGGAGGAAAGACGTTTATCGATGAAACAACTATATGTTTTTCATAGGAGGGTATCCGCAAATGATAGAAGAGTATGAAAGGTATAAGAGGATGGATAAGCAATTTCAAGAAGCATATCATTGTTGTCTTGACAACAGGAACAAGTTGGAGTACCTGGACAAGAGGTTGGAAGACTTAAAGGTAGAATTCTTGAATTGGCATTATGGGATGAATGTGCAAGAAGAGAATTCAGATGACGTTATTGTGAGGCAACTAGATGATGACAACAGGGGAAGAAATACAACTGTCTTTAATCCATTTGTGACTCAGAGTCGTAGACGTCCATAGAGTAATTGATACAGATCACGACACGAACTCAACCAAAATAATGTAGCCAGGAATCATCAAACATGTCGAGGCAGAGTAGGTCGAAGTAGAGCAAGAGATCGGAGAGGGAGAGGACAAGGTCGATCAATAAACAACACCAGTTCAATTGTTCAATCCGGTACAATCTGAAAGATGGATGCATGAAGAATCAAGCATATCATGCTATAACAAGTATAGTCATGTTTAAAAAAAAAAAAAATTCAATCAAATTGAAATAAGTAAGGTAGAACATGTTACCTTAAGTCCTTAGCAA